TAATAAATTAGTATATTTTTATATGTAATTTTGCCATGTAAAAATGATACCCCGGATATTATGCTTAATAATTATAGTGCTTATAATTCGCCATTAAATAATTAAAGACTTGACATTATTGATTTGGAATGTTTCGTCAAATTCTGTAAATTTCCAAAGATAAGCCTGTATCAATGTTTTGGATCAGAAAGCAATCGAAAAATCGTATATGAATAAAAAAGTGAGAAATAGCCGGTTGCGAGCAATTAATTACATTTTTAATGGTTTACTTGTAAATTAACATGAACTTTTATTAAAATTCCTATATTGTTAACAATTGCTAAATTTTTCGTATAATTTTATATGAATTTTATTATATGAAGTCTCTCTAACAACTGGCCACGTTTCATTTATAAAGTCAATTTCAATGAATGACATTTTTAAAATATTGTTTGGTATTACTTTTTGCATACTTAAATATTACGCTCCTACAATAATATTGAGGTCCAATTTCGAGACAAACCAATAGGAGAACGCGTTTTCTAGAAATATTATTGTTCCTAGTTGGTAAGTTTAAAAAGTGATATGCATCCACGAGATGCATTCAGCTAATGCGAATAAAAGATGTGTCTAGATCGAGCGAAAACTCTATTTTGCGTTCTCTCTCTCGTTCACACAAAACAACGAGCTGATCAGCGCGTCATTTCTTCGTACATGAGATAAAATGACGAGCGTGCTCCCCGAACGCAGCTCAGAGTTCTTTTCTACGTAAGAGCCCCAACGAGTCTCGGTCTAGATATGTCTATGGCTGTGGAAAAAGCGATCAGTGAGCGGTCATTGATTATTGGTCTTTACTGTTAGATCCCTAAATTTAAATCAATTACGTTGGCGAATTACTCAACCGTTGTCGCAACTTTACGACGCTATGTCGTTTTTATGAAGGATTATATACCGACCAGTGTAGAGACAACTTATTAAGGAATAATTGTCGTGGTAACTGACAATGAGAGTGTGCATTTTGTTTGCAAATTTATTTTCACAATATTCGATATGATTGGCCGTATCTATGTCCGTGAAAGAATTTTGTCTAAATTGCTTTCAATAGGACTCGAGATTTGCAATCATATCGGGTTAGATTTGCACAAACTTTCTACACTATTTTCATAAATTATTAAAGTTGATACATCGCATGAGGAGAAGGAGATTGGAATTAATGGTAAATTATCTTCAGAAGAATATCAATAATGGCTATGCATGGTGTAGTGCCACCGAAACGAAAAGAAATCTACAAATATGAGGCACCATGGCCGTTGTATAGCATGAACTGGTCAGTGAGACCCGACAAAAGATTTCGTTTGGCATTGGGTAGTTTTGTAGAGGAGTACAATAACAAGGTGCAGATTGTCTCATTGGATGAAGAAACATCAGAGTTCAGCGCCAAGAGTACATTCGATCACCCATATCCAACCACAAAGATTATGTGGATACCGGACAGTAAAGGTATATTCTCGGGTATGTGCAACCAAGCAACGAATAACTATGAAATTTCTCAGGCCTATTCCCGGATCTGCTCGCTACATCTGGCGATTATTTGAGAGTGTGGCGTGCTGCGGAACCGGAGACTCGTTTGGAGTGTGTCCTGAACAATAACAAGAATTCAGATTTCTGCGCGCCGCTCACGTCCTTCGACTGGAACGAAGTGGATCCGAATCTGATCGGCACCTCCAGCATAGACACAACCTGCACGATTTGGGGGCTGGAGACCGGTCAAGTGTTGGGCAGAGTGAACATGGTCACGGGACACGTCAAGACGCAATTGATTGCACATGACAAGGAAGTGTATGATATTGCATTCAGTCGCGCAGGCGGTGGACGCGATATGTTTGCCTCGGTCGGCGCGGACGGATCCGTCAGGATGTTCGATCTGCGGCATTTGGAACACTCGACGATAATCTACGAGGATCCACAGCACACCCCGTTATTGCGATTAGCGTGGAACAAGCAAGACCCTAATTATCTCGCTACTGTGGCGATGGATGCGTGCGAGGTGATCATTCTGGACGTGCGCGTACCGTGTACGCCGGTAGCGAGACTGAATAATCACAGGTACGCGCGCATTGCTGTGTATTGACTGATGTTACAATTCGATATTATATTTCTGACACAACACTTGCGTGTATTTAACGGAAAAGTTTTTAAGCTACTAGGATGTGAAAAATTTGGGGATTTCAGATTTTCACCTTGATAACGCTTCTCATCGCGAGTATCGTTTGTCATTGTTGTATAACTTTGAAACATTTTTCTCAGAAATGCGTATTTTTCGCGAAAAAGGAGGCAAAATGTCCGTTTGTTCGTTATAGATCGCCGCCAATTAATTTTTCAATACTATTTTGTCAACCAGCTATTGACGGGTTTGCAGTCATTGTACGCAGGTAACTTCAAACAATCCCATAGAAAGGGGGTTCACAGTGAGCAGTTACCGACAAGAATGAAATTTAACTGAGACAAATAAGAGATTTTCTCGTGACCGATTGTTACAGAGCCAGCGTCAACGGAATAGCTTGGGCCCCGCACTCATCCTGTCACATCTGTACGGCGGGCGACGATCATCAAGCTTTGATTTGGGACATACAGCAGATGCCAAGGGCTATCGAGGATCCTATACTTGCTTACACCGCGGCGGAGGGCGAGGTCAATCAGATTCAATGGGGCGCTACGCAGCCCGATTGGATAGCGATTTGTTATAACAAAGCGGCTGAGATCCTCCGGGTGTGAGCGAGCATTCTCCTATCGATAGGTACACCTTTCCTCCTTTGTTTCGAAAGGCTCATTATATATTTCCGTCTAAAATATCCCTCTTTTTTTTTTTCTTTCTTTTCCAACCATGGAGATGTGATAAAGGGATGAATAGTGGTTGAATTTTGTACGTTACGTTGGATATATTTGTATATATGTTCATAGAAATACTGCGTAATTGATAATACTAGATATTAATCGAGTTTTCAAATATACTTAAAACGCGTTGGTAAATAATCGATTGATAGGTTTTGCGTTAAACCACGTTATACCATCCGGGACGATTCCACGGTAGAATAGTCCGTGATATTGGATAATAAGACGGAATCGTAGCGTTAAAATGTAATTGTGAGTACCGACAACTTTTAATATACGATGTACAGACTTTTTATATATACAGACGTAAGTTTTTGATATACGAGAAGATGTATCTATACATACTTAAACATGTTATTCATAGAAAACTCTCGTTTTATCTACACGGGCTCGGTTGATCTTATTGTCATCTCGACAGACATCCCAAGCAATACAAAGACATCTTGATGTAAACTGGGATCGGATTTTTTAATTGCGTTTAGTCGTATTTCTCGTTAATTTGTGAACTGCGTTACACCGGGGGGATATAATGGACTGCATAGAAGGACAGACATTCACAAGGGAAATGTACGATTGAGAAGAGTGAAACTTACAAAAAGAACCAAATACATGTGTATTGTTATACGAGATATGTGACAGACGCTAAGCGAGTAGTATGCAATATTTACAATGAGAGCGTAAGAGTAAATTCAGTCAATTAACATAAAGCGATTACGCATCCACTCATTTGTCGTTCTTTCTTCTTTTTCTTTCGTTCGATACGAATGTTCTGATTGTTACATACATACGTAGGTATTTTTGTACCTGTATCTTGATCTTTACAAAAAAATTAGCGCAATTTTACTATATAATTAAATAAATATTAATAATAAATATTAATCAATAAGAGCATTTTTATTGCCTCTTCTTCAATGTGTGCGCGATCTTTCCACGTACCCGCGGAGCAATTTGTCGATATCAACTCGTCCTCTAAAAGACAAGGGAAAAAGAGGAGTATCTCAAAATATCAGTTTTATTGAGCGCGATCGCGCTCGATTTAAAGAAAGATTGGATCAGCGAGAAGACACTTGAATGCGTGCGCGACGCTTCGTACGTCGATTTCACTCTCTATATGCGACTCTAATAATGCTTTCCACTTTCGATTAGAATAATATACACGGTGAATGTGCAAAATATGCATTGTTACTGTCATATTTAACGTGATTAAAGCTTTTGTTAATAGTCGTTTGTCCCTCAGAGTGAGATACTCAATTCTGAATTAGATTTTTATTCAAGTCATACGCGATATAGCGTATTTGTAAGTGCGTGGATTCAATTGAAAAACTCACATCTGTCTTCAAATTCAAATGTCTCACCTGAGGCAAGTTTCGAGTAGCAATATTATGGGTCTGAGGCAATTCTTTTGAAAACAGTTGGGACGCAATTACATAGAAAATCACGCGTCGACAAATATAAATTGTCCTCGCGCAATCTCTCACGAATTATATGCACGCATATTTCGGACAATTGTTCAACAATAATTTACACCACACGAAATTAAAAGCAGATCGATGAGAAAAGTGAGAATTAATCATTACCACCTCGGCTCGATTTTCTCTCGGATAATGTTCTGAGAGGCGAATGTGCACGCCTCATTAGCGATCATGAACGAACAAGGTGGTCTTCCTCACTGAGTAGTCGTTCTGCTTGAACGCAGAACGAGCTCAATCTGTTTTATATTGCAAGGACAAAACTGTCCGACATGTATTTTTGCAAGCGACCACCTCGTTCCTTTTCTCTCATCATGTTTCTTATATATCCAGACAGCATAAATATCTGAAATACGTCTTGGGAACATTTCAGAGATGTCTAAGCTCGGACCTACAATAGATGTAATAAGCTTTGTGTCCTCTAAGCAATAGAATGTAACGTAATTTCGGACGTTTGCCAAAACTCGCAATAACTCGTTTAAATCTCAGGAATTATGACCTTTGGTAATGCTTTTGCTAGAAATTGCATTACAATTTAGAGCACAAGGCTTACTATTGTAAATCTATCTTGAAACGAGTTTTTAAATTTTAAAAATCATAAACAAAAAATAGAAGCATCTAAAAGACGTATAAAACACACAAGTTTATTTAAATGGATATCTTTCGCTCAGACGTCTCTAAGTCGTCTGAAAAATATTTATGCTGTTCGAGAAGAGGATGAAGCGGTGGGCGAGTGTTAGAGCAGCATTTATAATCTGATCTTATGTTTAAAATCGTCTTAAGTTCATCTCAATTCTAGTTTGGCACTCGTGGATCAAATTGACCCGAATGGAAAATTAAGATCCCACAGTCGTTAATCCCGATATACACACATTTGGTTTCAAAACGATTTGAACGGTTTTTCACACCACAATTCGGATTGCAACCGATGAGAGAACTTGTTTCTCACTAATTCCCACAAGGATATCCATATTTACGGATATTACTTCGGCAACCAGAAAATATCTACAAGTGAATGGTTGCTGCGATAAATTCGTTCGCATTTTTATTTCTAATCGTTGGAAGAATCAATAATTTATCAATAATTAATTTAAGAAATTAACCGTACACTCGAGGTTAACCGGATAATCCCAAAAGACCTGAATATGGCCGAAAATGAAGCGCTAATTTAAGTAAGAGTATATCAGAAAAGTTATCTCACGGACCCAATGTAAGCTAAGCGACAAAAATAAGCGTGTGACAACGAAGGCTTAAGGTCGTCTTAAATTTATAATAAGATCTAAGAATTAACGTTTATTCTTTCCAACTACTGCGCCGCCGAAAGACTCGGGAGACTTGGTCTGACTTCAATTAATGGCAGGGAAGATCATTTTTCGCATTATATCGTGTACACTTTCGTTTCTATCATCAAATCCATTGTATGAGACGTATTTCTTTCCCTTGGAAATAATCTTTTAAACTGCTTCGAAAAGTATTCTAGTAGCAAACGAATATATCTTTTACTAGCGATTATTCTCTTACAGAACGCACAATCTGCTCGCTATATAATGCAAATGAAGCACCGTGCACGCCACAGTGAGCATGTTCCCCATGGCAATGCACACGTGTATTTGGCAGAAGGCACGATGGATCTTCATGTAGTACGGGCAGTGCTTCAGTGGACCGATATTTTGACGGCCGATTTCACCCCCGACGCCCGTCGCGCGTTCCAAGTTATTCTTCAACACGATCAATCGCAAAAGCGGCGGTGTCAGATATAATCGTATTAGCAGTTCCAGGAAAAAAGCAATAGACATCCCGCCGACCTGAAACATTCAAATTTCATCCACAAAGGATGAAAAATAAGATTTCTATACGAAGAGAATAGTAAAAATTACCATAGAATTTGTGTGACCACACATATTTTATTAAAAGAAAATGCAATATCTCGTGATATTGCCCGACACTTTTTCAAGTAAATTCTTTTCTCAGAAGTTCTTTAGTGACGAAGAGATAATATTTCAACCTCTATATATTAACCTTTTGCATTTGAATCCAGTATATCAACCAGCTAATAATCCATATACTTGTTCTTTCTATATGAGAAAGAAATAACTTCTAAGGATTCGTCACAACTTTTTGTATGTATCTCTTAATGATCTTTCCAAAGTAAATAATACTTAATTAACATTCTTTTAGCCCCGATAACGGAAAATATAAAGAATTTTTCCCCGAGAAGGGGAAAATGAAAACTTTTTCAAAATTTATAAAATGTTCGATCATCATTTACAAACCTGAATAGCAATTTCCGTGTCCCACGTATGCGCCGGATGATGCTTGACAAATATAAGGAGCGTAATTAGACTCAGGCACGCGTTGATCGTAAAGTATCTTGGGAACAGGACGCGCTGCACCTCACCGAACATATGTCGCGGCAATGCGAAGTATAAGGACAGACCTGATGGAACATATTACAGAAAAAGTCCATTTGGCAAATTACATTTAAAAAACATGACCATTTTCTCAATTACCTGATACGAAAGTCATCCAGATTTGGGCACCAAAGTGCATGACGAAGGCCGCGAGGTAAATGAAGGACGTTGTCCTCGAGTGAGAGTTCGAATCAGAAGAGGCTCTTTCTTTCGTCGGGATAAGGACCGACATAACGAACAAGACCGCCGCGATCATAATTACGTGAGCCGGTTGCGCCGTGTAGAACAAGATCCTACAGAAACATCCATATTCTTTAACTGAATAAGCCACATCAAGATCTTTTATATAATGGATAAAACTTTTCAATTAAAATCCTTAAAAGAGAAATGTAGAAATATCAAAGAATATTATTATTTTTTAATTTAATTATTATCACGTTGACAAGATTTTGCAGCAAAAATGAATTGGTACTTTAGCGTGCCGTATCTTGGTTTCTTAAATAATGAATTAAACTACATATTAAATCGAAGTTCTTGCAATAAAATTTAGAAATTTCTGCGAAGATTATTATCTCTTAAAATTTAATCAGTTATCATTTTTCTTTCTTATTTTTCGAATTTTTCTTTCTTAAAAATAATTGATTATTTGATTTTCTTTTAGATCCGAAATTTTTACACCCCTTTACACTTGTACTTTGAAAAAGTTACGAAAATGACTTTTTCGCGTATGTTCGTCAAAGACAATTCAGAAATTCATAGACAATATTCGCTTTACCGTGCGCTATCTTATTTTTCTCGATAGTACTACTTTCGACAAGAAGAAATCTTTTTGCGAGATAAAATCGAATACATGACACATATCTCGATTAGAATCGGTTATTAGCTCACACAGAATAATTAATTCCTCATTAACTATTGCGAATTTTGTAGAATGGCACATGGCTTTCCTGTTGAATTAAATCTGTTCTACACATCACGAAAAAATTACTTATAAATTATTAGTCCCATAGCATGATATTCGCGAAGTATAATGTCGTTTGTATCTTCGCAACTAGGTAATTCGCCAACGAACACCTTGAACTATGATTATTCTTGCGGCACGGTATCAACAATCGTTGTCGAAATTTTCGTCACACGCAATTCTTTCTCTCTTTCTCCCTCTGTTAGGCAATTCGCAAATTAGCGAGCTCGCAGTTAGTGCCGATTTATTTCACGACGTGTCCTGACGCGTCAAAGTCAAATAAATTTGCCGGGGTTGAAGACGCACCTGAAAACGTTCCGCCTCGCTATCGATATCGTTCGATTAACACCAACTATTAAATTGATTCGCTTCTTCTCGTTTCTAATTGACTTCTCATAAAATTAGCGCAATTGATATAATGGTTAAAGAAATACTCACCTTCTCAAGATAATTTTGCACGAGTAGAAGATAACGAGTATTGTTGAAAACATAATGAGCAAAAATCGCTTTTTTAACCCTTTGAATGTTAGTCTTTATTTTAGAAATTTAATGTTTTTTTTATAGATGGCAAATATCAGATAGATACCTAACTTTTTAAACAGGGATATCGTATGTCACGTATAACGTGATACGATATATGGTGAACGCGTGCGTGACCTTCGTGAAGTTCTCCGAAGTGTCTCGTAATGGTTTATGAAGCGCCGGCCAAACACCCCGACGTGCCGTTCTCATCCTTTCCTCTTTATTTTTCGGCAACAAAAATCGCGCGTTCGATCTGGTCAAGGCGGTCACGTACGAAAGAATCCCGATCTCGCCGACCGTTTCGTCCAGACGAGAGCACGCACTCGAAATGTTATCCTTCTTGATCCTGATATTAAATATCTCATTTATCTCGTTGGAGGAATTAACATAAGGGAGCACGAAATTCTCCCTCTCTTTCTCTTTCTATATATATATATATATATTATATATATATTATATTATATATATATATATATATATATATA